GGACTAGGATACGGCATTTCAAAACCAGAGGAATTGGGTAAGAAAACAAATGTGACAAAAAAAAAATGAGTTATAGTTGTATTTATAAAACTTCTTGTCTAGATAGTTCTGAATCTGAGTAGATACTGACAAAGGACCCCACTGGGGTATATACTGTAGATATGATAGTAAAAACATAGAATACAGTAAATACAAAATACAGTAGAACCCCTCCTTTAGGACACCACCCCCTCCTATTAAAGGGATACTCTCTTTGGTACTGAAGCTGTCACAGGAAATGTGATAGTGTGTAGACAGTTCTTTATACTGATTTAAAATATTTTTATTTTTTTAAAGAATTCATTAAAACATTAGCCCAGCAGACTAGTATTTTGCTTGACCACACATACACTGGTAAATCAGCACAAGCACTGACCAACGAGCTCAGGAAACACAGGTCAAAGTTCAAAGGCAGCCGAATACTCTTTCTACATTCAGGTATGTATCCATGTTTGTGATTATTGAGGAAGGGCTGTAAAATTTGCTAAGGTTGCCATTCTTAAACACTCCTTATTAACAAGCACTGTGTAACATGGTAAAAAGAAAGATAGTTCCTTGTTGTTGTGAATGTGTGTAGAATAAAATTTAGTGATTATTGGTGGTTTGTATTTTTGTATGCGGGGAAACAGATGAACACATTCTTATGTTCTTTTTTCTTTTTTATGCATCAGGTGGAATATTTAGCATGTTTGATGGGCGGCTAGGAGATGTTCTAATGCAGTCAGCTGGAGAAACACTGGTACAGAACTGGATGAACCCTGAAGATGAACCAACTATTGTATGATGATACATTAATCATACAATAGTTGTTTTATGATACATTCATGAGGCTACGCTTCATGAATATCTTGTACCGCTGGAGTATGATACACATATGAGGGCAGGCTTCATGCATATTTTATTTAAAAAAAAACCAGTTTATTGCACATGCTATTGATTCTGCACTATAAGATTGCAATGCATATCGTGTAACACTGGAGTATACATGTTGATGGATCTACACACATGAGGGCAGGCTTCATGAAATATTGCTCAATTAATTGGATGCAAATCTTAATATGCTTCAAATAGACTTGGATGAATAGTGTGCAGTCAAGGTGGCTGCACCAACGCTCAGTAAACATTTTAAATATCATTTGATTTGCGTTAGGTGTTTAATATTTAACCTGTAAGCTGGGGTAGAGATTGGGTGCAAGAACAGGGCGTGTCCACACGCCAGCGAGCCATGTGTCAAACAACTTTCCTTTATGGGCCTCAATTCCTCCAAGTCAAAGCCAACATTTGTCCCAGCCTCTCAACTTATCTTATCAGGGTCTGCCATTGGAAGGTGTGGGTTGAATTGAGCTGAGAGGCTATAAGAGGTCTTATAAAAATGCCTCCTTTTTCACCATGAAACAAGTAGATGAAATAATCAAAGGCAATATAAAAGGATGAAACTGAGATTCTAAGATGACAGCATGCAATGATAATAAATATTAATGCAGGCACCTATTAATAATAGGATTATAGTCCATGGTTAATGTTTAAAATTTTTTAATAGGTATTTTTGTAAATTTCATATAATTCAGACTTGGTTGCAATTTTAATGTTAATAAATGAAACTGGAAAAACTGAATCTAAATAAAAGATATTATTAAATTATTCTAAAATATGATGTCACCTTCTCATTATACCAGCCTCATTAATATTTAACTGCAGTACGGTAATTGTTAATTTATATAATAATAAGATAAATTGTAATCTATTTACCATATACAGTAGTGGCAACAACATGCAGAGGTCTCCTTGACCACACCTTAGGAAATAGAAGTCAATGAGCTTGCATATCTGAACTTCACACCAAGTAATCACCCCCTGGGCCCAACTACAATTTCCAGTTCCCCCCACCCCCTATTTCTGCTTGCTTTTCCTGAACGTATACCTCGAGCAATTACTGATAATTGACTTTTTTGCTTGATTTAATATATTTGTGTTTATTAGCACTGTACACACAATCCAAGTTTGTTTGACAAAAACTGTTGTATGCCCAAATATAGTCACGGTGTGCCCATAGACATCGTGTGACTAGCTTCCTTATGTTGTGGTCATATTAGACTAATATTATTATTGAAGAAGTCTATTCAACAAGCAACCATACAACATATACATATCAAAGTTATTAGGTTAAAGTTCTCACGTTGGAGCATGCATAAAACGTAATTTCCTAAAACCTTGATATCTGAGATTGACAGCCAATTGAAACTCTCTGTATTATCTATTGTAACTTAACGAGTGGATTTCCTTATGATTTAAGGAAATATAAAGTTTGAAGGTCAGAAGTTTAAAAGTTAAAGGAGAGGACTTCCTTATGTTGTGGTCATATTTGACTGTAATATCACTAAAGACCATTCAACAAACAACATGAAACAGCAAAATTATTAAGTTAAACTTTCCACTTCGGTGCATGAATATAATGTAATTTTTGGGATATATGATATTTACATGACATTTGAGAATGTACTGAATTCAAATCATGGTGTGCCCATATGTAGTCATGGTGTGCCTATATATCCCTGGTTCTTAATAGGCCCGCATGCCAAGATTGGCTCACAAGGCTATTTAATTTGGCCCATGAGGAAAAACAACATAATGAAAAAAAATAATTAAAACATAATAAAGGTTTGATGAATACATTTTCGGTAAAGTAAAGACAAAAATGCAACCCATGGGTAATGTGCACGGAGTAATTTGAAAATGAGCAAGATTATATAGGCCATAAGTAGAATAAATAGCGCCAAAATCGATCACTGGGTTACTTTCCGTGGTCCTATTCTTCACTGTGTGCTTCAAACAAGCCAAAAGCGTGTTGTGATTTAGGGGTTAAAATTAAACCCTGTAAACAGAACTATACAGGAAAGTATCCAACCCCTAAACAGTGTTAGATTTCTAATGCTTTTTCTTGCTAGCCAATACAAATTCTTTCCTGGGATCACTCAAAATGAATACTGTACTTCTAAAATATGTGAATATGTGCACGTTATATACATATAATTTGGTGTTGATTAAAAATGCTCGGTACAATTTTTAATTTACTGCATAGGTTTGTGACCCGGGCTCTGATAGAAACCTACCATAAACGTCTATCAATAAAAGTCACCCGCTAACCTGATAGCGATCCAGTGGAATTTTCGTTAGATTAATAAATTTTCACTATACACGATAATGCAAAAATTGAAATTTTCGGGTTTATAACGGCTACCGCGCAGGGGGTGGAAAAATATCAGCTTAAATCGTCTTTAATTCATAAATCCCAGGACATGTCTTGTAAGATACAGAACTGTGATATTGTAATGTTCAGTTCGGTTTGTATCCTTTTGTATGTGTTCTGTCTCTTATACACATCTAGATGTGTATAAGAGACAGATCTACACACATGAGGGCAGGCTTCATGAAATATTGCTCAATTGGATGCAAATCTTAATATGCTTCAAATAAACTTGGAT